GTGAACAGGTATCCATACTTCCACTGAAGGTGGCCCTGGATGCCGAATCAAAAAGGCCTCATCTGATTTCACATAGAGTCCAGGAAACCAAGATAAAAAGGTTCAAACCTCGTTACTGCCATGATGACTGGAAACGATAGGGTGGGTGGTTGTAGATTGGAATTGTGCCAGAGCCTTTTCCACCAATGATGCCATCTTGAGTCCGCGACAACAGGCAGGAAAGGGTGTTCTGGCTGCGCTCCAGTTCACGCCTCTTTACACACCCTATTGTATGCAGGGTTAATGACTAGATATGGTGTTGAGCTCTACGTGATGTCATCGTAATGTCGAATACACTTTCTTGTTGGATCCTTTCGAACAGAATCAAGAAGTAGGTCGTGTAAAACTGAGGAGCTCATGCAAAAAAACGAGACTTTGGTAAAATCATGTGAAATTATCGAGGGTTATGCAAAGTGATTGGGTGGTTCTTCGTCAGTGGTTGTTATTGGCGACTTGCCAATCACCTCTCCTCCTCAACCATGATTCTGCATAAGCCTGAACAAGTGCCAACTTTTGTTGTGTTTTTCATTGATTCACTGTGGGAATATATGAAATGTATGAGTTCCATCGTGACGGGTGCATTTTCATGACGTGGCCGCTTTGAAAAGAAAGTTATTTCCTGTGTTTCCGGCAATAAGTTTCGTCTTATCTTTTCTGCCCCGTGAAAATAAGTACAGTGCTTATCGAAGCGTTGTGTGGAGGCGTTCCTGCGTGCGTACGCTTTGACGCAGCCCCAGCCTATTTCCTTCAATGGCTGCCCACTCCGTAGTGGCAACGAGCGGCACAAAGGGCTCGAGCTGCGCCAAACGTACGCAGGAACGCCTCCTCACTCTGTTAGTCATTATAAGTGGGTTCCAAAAAGAGTGGGAAAAAAATTGATGTTCCCAAAAAGAAACTGCCAGCTACGCACAATGAGACTCTTTACGTTCTGCGTTAGTTTTGACTCTGGAAGTTTCGGTTGATTTAGCCTAACCTGAGCACGGTAGAGCTCCATTCCGATGCATGGGTATTAGCTGAATTTGGGGGGGGAGGGGTAAACTTTGGATCAGTTCCCGGTGAATAAATGTGGGAAGCGTACCACACCCCTAAAAAGTAATGATATCGATAAAAATTGTTCAACGAGGGTCTGTTTACCTACCCAGCCATCACGCCAGATAGCAACTGTTAACAGTCTTCAACATTCAAAGTAACTTTTCCACAGTATTAGCGAACGGGAAGTATACAACATACGAATGTGGCCGATCGAAAGTTCACTAGATTTCGCGTTTATGGGATCCAGTTTCCATTAGCCGTTTGTTTTCGCATAATGGTCAGTTTCCATAGTTGTTCATGGGCAGTTTCCGGTTCCTGTGTAAAGAAATTGGTGCCTTTGAGATGTTGTGATTCATGAGGGGGGACGCAGTTCAGTTGGAGCACACATTTCCATACATTGCTGTCAAAAAAGAGTCAGTCAGCTATTCAAGCGCGGTGTTACTGGGAATCGTGTATTGAAATCAATCAATCCATAAGTTAGAGTAGAAGACAATTATTGACTAATTCGTTTTTTTTCTTAGAATCAGATAAATGTTCTACTGTAAAGTAACATTTGTTTAAACACGTAAGCACGAGGAGTGAGGAAAAAGCTGAATGTGTGAAACACGGAATGCGTTGATTAATTCGAGAAAGTAATCCGGAGAACGTTGTAAATAAAGTTGATTTTGAGTAATGGCAGTTGAACCATTTGGTCATTACACAACCTCCACGCTCAAATATAGGGGAGCTGCAATTTTCGACACTTTGATTTTTTTTCAGAGAAAGAAAGTCTGTTGTGCCTGCTTTTGTTCCGATCCATATCCAAAGGGTAAACTGAAATTATTCCTAACCAGCTTTTTCAAGAAGATCTCTTATGAATGTACTGTTGATATATTCCCATGAGGTCAATACATTTGATATTGCGAGTAAGAACCGTGAAACCTAAACTGGAGCGGGATTTAGCTTCTTTCGTGGACCTAGTAAAAAAAGGTGGTCGTGAATCCTGTCTTGTGGAGGAGCTGCAGAGAGATCGATCCGACGAATTTGATGTGAAACCATTAATGGCATAATCATCTCCTTTTGGTCTCGACGCTCTCTCGTTCTTCTTTAAAATACGAATACATGATGGCTGTGCAATTGCTTATGTTAGAGGGGGGGGGTGTGGAGAAAGTTTGCAGCGACACTAGGCCACACCTACTCCTCTACTGATTCTCTCATGGAGGGCGTTCGGTGAGGGGGCTAACAAGTAAACACTGGCCCCATTCTGGTCACTGCTCCGCCACTTGACTATTTGAAACAGAACTTGACAAATCCATTAGAGGAACGGTCCGCGATGACCTATGAAAATGCAAGAGGTTATGTGGGAAGGTAGTGCGGTCCGGAGTGGACAACCCTGTGCCAGTTTCGCGGCGGAAAGTTGTACGGTAAAGGAATTAAGGCGCAAAGTTGCTTCAGTGGTACATCCCTTTTTCCAGTGACTCCGCCTCCAGACTCCGCCTCCAAAGTCGGCCTTCCAGCCAAAAGTAATGCTCTCGGGCAAGTATCATGGAGTGGATGCATTCCTTGTCTCTTGTAGAGTCATAGGGTTCATTACTGGGAATCAGCCGACGGGAATTGCCCAGCGCACGGTCTTTTCGGTCTTTTACCTCTACAGTTGTTTGAGGCTAGAGGAGGCCTGACGAATGCGTTTCCAACGTTCCTTTGGCATTTTCTCTTCATAGACGGTTCACTTGGCAATTTTCTTCCACATTTCTGCAACATCACCTAGGCTTGTTATCGCGGACCGCGTTTAAAAAAATGCACTGCAAGGGTTATCAAATGCAGCAGGGTTGTCGGGATAGACATCGTTTTTCAGAACACAGACGCTCAAATGTTTTTGTAGGAATCGAAATAGTAAGCTGCTAACAGATTTAGTGCCAAATAGCACGCTTACCACGCGTGCGGGTCACGTCGCGGATGGGCTCCCGTCCAAGCAGTGGAGCCTCTTCTCCTCCGGGGACGGTAGATCGGTGTCAGACTTGTTCGGAAGGGTAAGTGCACTGACTCGTACATCGAGTGACTACTGCAGGTCTTTGTAGCAGTCATAACGCATCATAAGCTCCTACGATTCTGAATGGTAGTAGAATGCGCGTCTCATCCCAAAAATGGATTGGCCAACGGCAAACTCCAATTTTGATTTAACCTAGAAGGAAAAGGGTTCTGCTTGAAATTTTGATCCATATTCACATGATTCGATTTCAGGTGCCATTACCCCGGATTGGACTGATTCGGATGACTGTTCTCTTCTTCACTGGGCTGCCATCAACAATCGATTGCATGTAAGCATATGTATATCCATGTTCCAAACTGTCCCGAAAATCGCGCATTCAGCTCGCGATTCCCATCGCTTTGGCTACGAGCTCGCTATTAGACGGTCAGCTTGCAATCTTTAAATAATGAGGTAGCTCCAGCTCATTAGTGTCGTAATGTCGTCTCATTAGTCACGCTTATATCCCTCTTTTGTAATGGGTACGTAATGGATAATTCTTTTGTAGAGCCAGAGTTAGCACTGATCAGGAGATCCGAGTTGCGGCAATAGGCAGAAACGAGCACGGCATCTCCTTGCCATTTTACGCGACACAATCGCGTGAAATCAGTTAGGCCGTGACACGAGTGCTGTGTGCGCCCGCCCTCGCAACTTGGTGCTTTTGAACCTATGACGCCCTCTCAAAGACGATTCCCGCAGCCAAGTGTTACAGGTAGTAGGTGCTCAACCATGAACCAGTAGCCCATAGATAACTCTCCAGTAGAGAAAGATGCGAAAAAAAAACCCTGGAAACTCTTTGAACAGAGACCCACGTAGGTGGGGCCGGCGCCTTGGACGAGTTTGTCGGACGTCGGCAAGCCCAATCAGCAGGATTCGACGTGCAACGATTCCCGGCAAGAGCACAGGAAATCACCCTACGACGCTCCAGGCAACGCTATGTACACACGCATTCCGCTTGTAAGCCGTTGTCTTGCAGAGTGAAAGTAATCGTGGTTGCAATAATCACGCGTCTCTAGCTTCTTTATCTCGCCGTTTCGAGTGACGAAAGTGGTATATTCTCTGCGAATGCGGACAACGATGCCAAATGCACGGAGGCATTTCGCGGGCCACTTGATGCGGGAACTGTCTTTAAAGGCAGTTGGCACGATGGTTTCCTACTCAGCCTAAAATGCTAGTAGGGCGCTATATAGTGGGAAATGGCGAAAGAACGGAGTGAAACGGTCAAATCCGGCGAAGAAAAAGCCTCCGTTCTCAGTGACTTGAAAATCGATTTCGGACGAGTTTCCCGTACGCATCTTGCCAATCACCGCTACCGAAGATACGGCTGCATATGTGTACCCATATATGCATGCAGCATCACGGCCGCTTCATACCAATCCCTTTGCTTCATAATTTGCTCAGCAAATGAATGAATACGAGCGTCAGGAACGGTCGTCCGTTTGTGGGCGGGCGGGCGAGGAAGGCGTTTGGGACGGAATGTTGTTGCTCGATAGGGCGTTATAGGGGTACCCTCCTTGGAAAAGGCGCCACGGAGCGCCTGTCCGAGGTCACGGAATTCTGTTAAGCCAGTCGTATAAATCCTACATCTGTATAGCGATTTATCGTGCCAACTGCCTTCAAAACAATTCCCTCACCCTCCCCCTCCACCCACACTTAGAGACCCACGAAGTGTGAGGGGGCAGGTCAACATCTTCGATCAAATAGTAAAACTATTGTACAAGCTGCAGACTAGGGAGTGTAAGAACGCGTCCAAAGTAGGAAAAATCAACTGTCATAAAGAACTTGGCTGGACCAAATGCGACTCATACCCTCCTCTCCAGCGACCACGCACGCCCTCTCCCCGTCATGTCTTCAACAACGATGAGTGCCTGCGTCCAGTGCGTCACACATGAGATCTTTGCCGCTAAGCTTTTGCAGTTCTTGTTGGCTCATTCCGCATCATTTCCAATTCTGTTCCATTAATTCGCGTGTTTTAGGTGGCTGAACTGCTTCTACGACGGCGAGCCAATGTGAACGCTGTGGGCGGTGTTCTAGCCTCAACGCCACTTCACTGGGCTGCCCGGCAGGGCCATGTGTTGATGGTGGCCTTTTTAGTGACGAACGGTGCTCAGGTGGAAAAACGCGATGTCGAGGGTAACACTTGAGTGGAATTGGACGACGTTTGATTTTCACCAGTAATGCCAGTATTACCTTTAGGCTTCACACCACTGCACGTCGCCGCTCAATTCGGTGCCACACCAGTCGTCGGCTACCTCATTGCTCGCGGTCAATCCGTTGACGCGCCAGACGAGTCACGGATCACACCAGCAATGTGGGCAGCAGCGAAGGTAGTAAAATTACAAAACGCCTTTGCTAACTGCTTGCAATGATCCCTTCAAACGATAGGGCTTGTGGCGAGACGTTGATTGGAGCGCAGCCAGAGCGGCGTTTGTCCATCAGTGGTGCCGTCATGAGCATGCTACAATTGGTGGGAATGTCTGCGTCGCACGCCCTATCGTCTGCGGGGGTCATGAATGTACAGTATGTTGATTCAGCCGAGTCACATGATATGATATCATATGACTCTCGATACTACTTTCCCTTTACTGCCACATCCCCCGAAAATTGCACCAGGTTTTGATCAAAATTCTTCTCATCATTGAAGTCGCCCGGACCCCCTTAAAGGCAGCGCCCACGTTCATTTAATGTTCACGCGCCCTCTCTGGATATCATAGCCCTCCCTATGAGGATGCAGTATGTACTAGTTTTGCATCTCAAAAAGGCGAGAGGATAGCGCCGTTCGCTAGTGAAGAGTCGGCCGCCCCGCCCACCTGGCCAGCATAGGGTTCTATATAGGGCATTTTCCATGATTTTTTCTGCTTTTTTCTTCACTACTGGATCACATATTATATGAGCTCCATAACTCATTATTCTTGAAAGCGGGCTCAGCCTTTGAAGGCTAAGCCAAAGCAGTTATGGCAGCCAGGTGGGCGGGGCGGCATCCTCTTCACAAGCGGGTGGCGCCATCCTCTCGTATTTTTGAGCTGCGAAATTAGTACATCCTCCACCCTTGTCGACAAAGCTACGATATCTAAGGAGGGCGTAGGAACATCAAATGAACGCGGCGCTGCCTTTAACGCAAATATCCCATCCTTTTGGCTCGAGATCATCTAAAGCGCGGCAGCAGGTGTCGACGCCAAAATGCCTAGGATACCACGTGTTACATAGTTTCAAGGGGAAAGTTGACCCTTGTATAGGAATGTCACATTTGCTTGAGCGAAAACGCTTGATTCCTGGTCCATGGGCGAGAGCGGCACGACATTGCGGCGCGGGAGCCAGGCGTTCTCGCTTCACGTTTGTGCAATATTATTGTCCAGTGGGTCAGAATATTGGATGAGTTATCCAGCTGACAAGTCTCGATCCTTAATTCCGTGCAGTGAGTCAGTCAAACGTGAGTAGTGCTTAAGTTTCGATGGATCTTCTTTTAGTGTTCCCAAACTGATCCTCTTCAACTGTTGATCACTCTTGGTGCTGATGTGAACAAAGCCGATGCCGCCTACCATAATACTCCACTCCATTGGGCTGCTACCAACGGCAATATCACAGCTGTGAATACCCTTCTGAAAGGTGACATACAATCTATTGCTACTTGAAAGTATGACTGTGATGAACAATCATTCCATGCTGATCTTATGGGCGTGAACAGTCAGTCGTTGGGTCTTTCTTGTTGGCGCGCTCTTTCATAATCTCTGGGCGGGGAGGGGGGGGGGGTGGCGCATCAATGAAGAAAGCACAATCGTAGGCCTTGCTCCGCCCACATGAAAAGCATCGAATGTATCTTACTATTATTGAATTTGGCGCAGTTTGGCTTGAGGCATCAAATAATACTCAGCAAGGCCAGGAGCCACCTTTTGAAGAAGTGTAAACCTCCCGGAAAGCGGCTCACTTGTACCGTTTCCAGAACTTCACAAGAGTTGACAGGTTTGACCAGAATGAGATTCTGTTGCTAAGCACGAACTAGCAAAGGAGCTAGCCATAGTGGAAAATGCCCTTCGCAAGCCGAACCGCGCCATGAGTTGTGGCTTTTAACCAGACTTATAGAGAGTTGGGACGCAAGTTCAGCTAAGGACATTTGGTTTAAAAAATGCATCTTTAGCCGATTGCGACTTAGCGGCTACGAATCGCGACAACGAAACGGCATTGGACATCGCTGTACGTCGTGGAGATACCGTTCTCATCTCCAGAATCGAATTAGCGGCACGGCAGAAAGGCCTTATGAATTCTACGTGGCGGCAGAAACTCACTGAGAATAAGGTTAATTTTACTGGTCCAATATAGAGAAGTTCTGCGTTCAGTAGAGCATATATACAGTGCACATGAGTTTTTTGCTTTATCCTATTCCACTTCTTTTTCCACTCGTGATATTGTTCATTATTCAAAATCAAAAGTGAAGCAAACGCACAGGCAGAGTTGTCGCTGATTATTTGGAAAGTGAGATGGGCGGAGACAACCAACCACTGTGCTTTTCTCATTGGTACACTTCTTCTTCTGTTACGAAGAATGGGAGTAGCGCGCCAATGAGAAAGGCGCATTGGTTGATGACTCCGCCCACCCCCAACACGACTGATCAGTGTGTACTGACTCTTTATGAAGGTTGTATACCCATTGGAGCTTACTTACGGCAGCTGTATTTTCAGTTTTATTATATGACTGGCTATGTAGAATGAATAGCAGGATCTCCCAATCTTGTGAAATTTTGTTTTATTATTTACTTATTTATTTGTTTATTTTACGAATATGTCAATCAATTTTTGACGGTTACTAAACAATCACTGTTAAGAACTCTTAATTTTGTTTGCTGGAACTCTGCAGGTTTCGTTTTCAGAGTACTGCAAGGCGAATACTCTGGTGCGTGCCATTTCTGCTATACTTCTGCATATGGTTGATTCTTCACCTCAGTACCTCACTTTCTGTTAAACTAGCTTATCTCTTACTGACCGCCATGATCTGCAAGTATTTCCCACTGTGAGTCTTTTTATAAATACACTACTATAAATACTACTTATTGCTTTGATATTGATCAAAATGTGAAAATTCAGTAGAAATCGGACAGTTTTGACCTGGAAGTCCCCTCTTTCCTTCCGGAGGGAAACCTGTTTAGGCAGGATCTCCCAGTCTTGTGAAATTCTGTTTTATTTTTCGAAGAAACATGAGACCAACCATCACCATTAGAAAGAAAATGTATAGTTCCTTCGGGGCCGCTAGGTGGGCGGAGGGTTCCACTGAGAGGTGTTGCGCCCCAAGAGCATGGATATCTAGGCCGGCCTGAGGAAGCTACTGTAGTCTTGTCGATCAGTGTTCATTCAAGCAATAACCATAGGACTTCTTCCTAGAGACAACATTTTCATCTTTTGTTCATATTCCCTAATGTGAGATTTTTTTCAGCAAATTTTCAAATTCTGATCTACTGGACTCGATGCCGCCTTCAATAGCCACTTCAACAAAAGTTACATTGATTCTCACATGGTTTTTCTATCTACAACCCATATCTACATGGTTGGTTAATTTTGCGAACATTTCTTTTGAATATTGGGAATGCTTCACGTACACCTCATATCCCGGAGAGGGCGTTGCTGCGAACCCCGCTTGAGAGCGGCGTCAGCTGCATTTCTGGTGGTAACTTTTGTTTCGAGACAACTGAAAACGTCTTTGTCCTGCACAAGACAGGATGATAATTGCCTCATATTGGGATATTCCACGAAAAGGTATCCTGTGCCATGTTCAAATCAAGCAAGCAGCCACGCCCTCCCCGTCCCTGAGATATGCAGTGTAGTACGGAGACATGTTTTGCTAAACACTTTCCTTTACCTCTGCACTTATTTTGTTTATTCTGGTTTATTCAGGTACATGCAAATCGCCTTTTCACTTTTCATTTTCATTTTACCGTTCACGTTCTTCACGGTGACTTATTGTGATCCGGGTTATATCAATACTACGTATCAAGAGAGGTGAGCTGAGGAGTTCAGCTAGAGACTTTCGTTTTGGCGTCGGAGCTATTTGACGCCAGGTTGATGCCTGCACAGGCGCGGCTTTTTCATTGGCCCCTAAAACATTGGGTGTAGCTGCAGACCTCGTTAATGCATCATTATGAATGAACGCAAAGAGCTTGGCGCATCCACGGTGCGATATCGGTATAACTGTACAGTAGGTTCTAGTAGGCGCTTTCCACACTCGTCTTATTGGGTGGAGTGAGGCGTACCATTATGCTTTCCTCATTGGTGCGCCCTTCCTTCCCGAATAGTGCCGTGAGGATGAACCAATGAGGGAGGAGCAGTGCTAGGCCCCGTCCGTCCATTCGACGAGCATACAATGTGCATTTGGAGCATTTTAATGGATCAAAGTAAACTGGTAATGATTGCAAAGATGGCAGTTGTTGTTTCACAGTTTGAACCGACAAACCTACAGAGACTGAGTTCGGGGTTAATTTTGTTAAACTAAATAAATATAAAAATTCGAATAGCGATGCACAAAGAGATTTCGTTTTCCCTGTTTTGGATACGCTTTCAGGGTCACATTTGAAATTTTTCAGTTTATGTTTAAATTTAATATTCGTTGTCCTTAACGTTATCATTATTTTATAATAATAATGGTTTAAGTTTTTCCTTTTTTTCGTCTTTCATTCTTCTCTTCTTACTATTACTATTGAATGCTAGGATATTTGCAAGCTTTTCATTTTACAGCATTTTTTCGAATTTTTATCATGTATTTTCAGATGCAAAACTATTATCAATATTAGTGAGGGGAAATGCCCTTCAACGACATTTTGTCCAACGTGTTTGTTGATAAAACCAAGCAGGTACCATCATTTTCGTTTCTATTTTCTATTCACAATGCTACTCTCATGCAGACAGTAAGGCTGCGTTCATACTTTACGGCAGCGTCCACCAGCGACCAATAACCTACACCAGCGTTCCGAGCGTCCGGCAGCGTCTGCGACTGAAGTAGGATATAGGTCTAGCGTCTGCCGGCGTCTACCAGCGCCCGCCAGCGCCTCCCAGCGTCTCGAGGGCTACGGAAGTATAGGTATCATTCTAGGGTCTACCGACGTCCATCAGCGTCTACCAGCGTCCGGGAGTGAAGAGTATGGCGCAATAGTAAGGTAGGAGACAGCTGGTAGAGTATGGGGAAATAGAAGGGTCGCCTGGGTTGTGGCGCGATAGGAGGGTAGAGCTGGTACCTCTCCTTTCGCACCATACTCCTACCAGGAGTCCACTATTAGTCGCTGGTGGACGCTGATAGACGCTGGCAGAGCCTGGATTGACACCTATCCCTAGCCCTCGAGACGCTGGTGGGGCGCTGGTAGACGCTGGCGCAAGCTGTTAGACGCTGGTGGAGCTGGTGTGCGCTGGTTGCAACGCAGCAGTCGATGAGTGGATCTCCTGCTTCCACATGAATTTTCAGTTTCTTTATGTAATTATGTAAATTAAGGTCTAAACACTGCCGGTATTGTGATCGTTGCGTGTCGAGATTTGATCATCATTGTCCTTGGGTTAGTTTACCTGTTTGTCTACTTCTGTAATTATTATAGCCTCAGATACAGTACTTTTTGATCTTATTCACTAATGCTTGGTCTTTTTAAAGACAGCTCCCGCGATAAAAGTCTCATGGATAGCTGCTTTCCAATTATGAAAATATGGACAAGCTGTCTGAATTCCAATTATGAAACAGTAGCTGATAAGTAATCTCCCAAAGAAGAAAACAGGCAAGAAGCGTCCTCCAGAACAACATAAACAAAATCGCTCCCTCACAGTCACACCTCCCTGTGTCTCTGTGCAACCCCTAGCTCACAAATCTCTCTATCACATCTCGCAGTAGTTGATATCATCCAGTGCAAAAAAAGAATACAAAAAGAAAACAACAAAACGCAGAGGAAAAACTCTTGGAAGGAAAAAGGAATTTTATCAACGCGGTGTCTGAATTTGGGATTACGGTAGCGCACGTTTTGTGCGTCGAGGTTTTGCATCACGAAAATTGCGCGTCACTCGTGCTTTTTACGCGTTTCACCTCGCGAAATGAGTTGAATTGAATGTATATACCTCCAATGAGTAAACTGTAATAAAGGGGAGCAGAATTATCCATGGGCATTAGCAATGCCCGCAATTGAAATTGCTTCATTTCCGACTAAGAACAACTGAGTGGCCTCCGTCGGAGGACATCTAGCAAGTAAGGCGGTCCAACTGAGCAGGCGTTAGAACTAGAACTTACAGCGGCTGTAGCTCGCTTCTCGCTCGCTGTGCAGACGAATAGAGTGGGACAGTCTCTAGCTTGGGGGCTGTACTACTTGCACAAGGAAGGACGACCATGTACTACTCGAGCGCGGGGGCTGTCTTTAAGTCGGTACCGAAACGCCACAGACGATTTCCAATAGCGGAGCTGGGTCCTTTCAAGGCTTCCAGCCCGATTTATCCAAAGTCTCCCCTTTCGCTACGAGATTCATTTCTCACACCACGTTTGTCGGCATGGGGGAGGCCTTATGTCAGGGAACCGTTCCTAATCCTTTTTTTTCTCGTTTGTCCTTTTGACGTGGTTGAGTCTGCTGTAGCTTGAGAGTTGAGGTTCCAGAGGTGGAATATCCAACGTCGCAGGTAGATAACAAGAGCTACTCCGACTCTGACTTTTCCTTCGACCATTCAGGTGTCCATATTTCGTAGTTAAGTCAGTGGATCCGCACCTAATTCTATATATAGTTCTCGCTTAAGTTTTACTAGACGTCGCCATAATTTACCTTCACTTGCTGAATGTGGTTAGGTCCAACAGGCCGTAATACTGCCTCAGTATTGCCTCTTTGGAAATCGATCTTCGCTGGCCTAATCTGAGCATTGCGCCGGCCGATAAATGTAGTTTTGGAATCTCTCAAGCAAAGCCGTTCCCTTCGACCATTTGCCGTATCGGAGAAAACTAATATCTCAATGCGATGAGTGGAAACCGGGCTCAGAGAGGTCTACGTTCATACTTAAACAGGGAACATTCTTTACCAGTTAGGACCATTAACAAATGCGGCTTCAATGGCACAGGTAAGAGCTCCTTTTCAAGGATGACAGTGACCGCAGCTCTTTGAAATCTTGAAGCCAAAACCCGTACAAGTGACGATTTTATGCTTTTTCGTCCTGCAGCTTCGTTTTTCCCTGAAAGGAGGGCTTCGAGGGCAAAAGCCTAGAGGCGGATCCCGGAATAAGCAGGCACGTGTCACCTGACATATATTAGGCTACTAGCGCCCTCCCTATATATTTTTGTCGCAAAACTGTACAAGGATGTCTCGGTCCGGCGCTGACCACACCACCCTCATATTTTCAACTTCTATACCTGATCGCGGACCGTCCCTTTGAACTAGCCAACCATTCTTTAGTCAACTAGCCATTCTTTGATTTGACTACTGAGTGGCAACTGTCGACGGACATATTAACCGTTCTCGCTCGGCTTTAGAGAGAATATGTGGAGCGAAAAAGGGGGGGGGCGCGGGACATTACATTTACTCGGGCGCCCAATGAGGGAAAGCTTATGTGAAATTTTGGGAAGGTTGAAGTCTATGCATCCAGCTCCACGCGAGATCGCAGTACAGCCGACTACCTCTGACCATTCTTCATCATTTTGTCGAGCCGCACCATGGTCTGTGATGTAAAGTGCAGCAAGCGGAACATCCAATGAGGCGAGAAGCAGCCTCCAAGATGACACCGCCCATAGTCCATCGGGCCGAGGTGGCTTTCGGTTCCTGCTAAGAGGACAAATGTCACTGACGTCCGGCAGGAAGCCGACAAGGATATTCGGCTCAAATCTCAAAGGCCAGCAAAGAAGGCGAGTAGTGCCTCTACCCTTTGCGTAGTACTTCCCGCTAGCAGTCAAATGTGCTCTAATGAATAGATAAATCTTTTTCAACCATTTCTTTTTCACCAGAGTTTTGTATTTTCTTCACTTCGATATATTGTATATGTATGTATGTTTTATTTTTTCCTGAATAATTTTTTTTGTCTTCAGATTAACAATTGTGTAGCTGCCAATAATCATCGGAGTTTTATTTGCTATTTGTTGGTTATCGCTGTGTCAACAGCACTCTTTTGTTCTGCAGTTTTTTGTGTAAGTTTGTACCCATCCATTTATTCCTACTTCTCGTCTTTTACTTACTTATCTATTTGTACTGGCAATATATTTGTGAATTCTTGCTCATTGATATTAATTAGTTTATAATGCTTATTTTACTTGTTTATCTTAGCTTAACATTCGAGAATTCAGTTGGAGGGATATACTGATCAAGTCGCACTCTAAATGAACCATATAATCGCCTGTGACCACTTGCTGTTCTAAAATTCGCCTTTCTAGCAGTGCAGGAGTCTGCGGTACGCTGAAGCGACTGCTATCAATATTAAAAATTGCTCCATGAAATTTCTTTTTTTTGCTACTTCTATTTTGTTTTTATAGCAAAAACATGAGTTAAATCTAATCAAACTAGAGCAAGCTAATTAGAAGACAATACAGTAATTTATATTGTCGCAAATCAGTACGCGAGCGGTTAAGAAAGGATGGAATGCAGCTCACACGCGCACGTTTACCACACTGGTGCTTTCCCCTCAATCGATCACTATTTGAGCTCTATTAGAAAATCAAGGGCGCAGAACGACCTCAATCCGCCCCTACTGACACAATGCCCCGACTATTGCGACCTTTTCAACCATATGGTATTGGTGTAGCAATTGTAGTAAAAGTAAGGCTGCGTTCATACTTTGCGGCAGCGTCCACCAGCGTCAGCCAACAGTGAGCTGGTAGAAGAGTATGGCTGCGACTTCTGCCTACCCTCTATATCGCGCAATACTCTCCTTGTCTCAGACGCTGGTAGACGCTTGTGCGTATGCAGCGTAGGGCTGGCAGAACGCATGCAATGGCCAGATTGATACCAATTACATTCCTATAGCCCTCAAGAGCTGGTGGACGCTGGCGGGCGCTAGATCGATATCTATACTTCCCTAATCGCTGACGCTGCCGGACGCTCGGGACGCTGGTGGACGCTACCGCTAAGTATGAATGCAGTCTAGGAGTAGTTACTGTGCCAATTGTAGCAGGAGATCATCACTGAGCGGACTTTCCATCGCGTCACTCCTTTCTGTTTAAACATTTCCTTGCGCTCCGCTTCGCTATGAGGAAGCTCGGTGAGGAAAAAGAGGGGGGTGGGGGGTAGAGTCTGCACGTGCTATTAGTATCTTCAGTTTTCACCTTGATCAGACCTATAAACATTTGTGAGTGCCCTCGTACACCTTAACGAGTTTGCCAGGTCTCTACAGCGTGATAACTGGCACGCTGCCTTCTCCGCCTCCCTTGTGAGCCAATAAGCGCTATTCATACTACATTTTCTTTCTGAAAGAAATTTCACGGCTCATGCCTCTTACTTACTTTCTGCGAGACTTTATGACCGGTTTAATCCGAATATTTTGGGCAGCTGGTCATCAGCGATGACCGGATTACAATTCTATCAAATCGTAATGGAAGTAACGACTAATGAACGGTTGAATATTCATCGTTATCAACACTTTTCAATCGGTGCTAATCAGCTTGACATCCGAAGTCCGTATGAGTAAGTTGTGGCCATCTGGACTTGTTGTTACAAATCTCAACAGAATTTCCGTACATAAATCGGAATTAGATGTTTTCGCCTTTGAAAACCTTAAATCATCACATTTCTACAGCAAATGTTACGTTCTGAGCACCAGTGTGTAGGTGGGCGGGATCAGTAGAGGACCCAAACCACGCCTATTCTGTGCTCGTCGCTCGTCTGCGCCCTCATCGACCCCATGAAACCTTGCAAAACACTGTCTCGGAGGGGGGGGAGGGAGGGAGAGAGGGCGCAATCGAGCGAAAGATAGGTGTGACCCAGCATTGCGATGTTGACATTACATGGGTCTCCCCCTCACCCCCTTTCCCTTCCACTCCACTAGTTAGATCAATGGATGCATCGATTGAAGTAATTAGGGAGCTTCCTCGTCAGCTTATCTTTGAGTGCCAGACGGTGGTCATGATTTGCGAGGTTGTATGTGCACGATTTTGGACGCGCTACTGTTCACAGCACGTTCTGATTTCATAATTTCAACTGCAATTACACTTTTCATCCTGTTTCATGATGAGTTGAGTGCTTTACTACAAAGTAAATAGGTTATCGCAATGTCCTTATAGGTTCTAGGCTGATTGAAGTACTTCATTTCGGAGCCTATCGCCTCTTGGTCAAAAACCTTTCGGAGCCACCCGAAAGAATCCCTCGACACAGCACGGTCATGCGAAGGGTAGACTTACAAAGCAGAACCCAGCGTTTTTTCCCCCTTATGACGACCATTTCTAGCATAAAGAGTTCGTAAAAAGTTGTCTCGCTTTTCGAGTAAGAGTTTCACCCGCTCCGATAGAAGCAGGAAAACGGAAGTAATACTCCAAGCCGTTACAGACGTGTCTCAGACTGCCTGGTCTGCAGTTTTTGACATCTAGTCAATTTCACTTCCTCCTCCCACGCAGTTGATTGCTCTACTTACATTCCATTTTTATCAAGTAAATGAAAAGAACAGTCCACAGGCACAGTGAACCGAACCGCTATCGCAGAAGGTTTCTGACGCCTCCCTAGTTGTCCCAACCAAATGACAGAGCCTGTTGTCTGCCACGCGCTCGGTTTTACTCCGTGTTTTTATTTTTTCACTGTTAGATGGTATCAGCATTGGCTGGCGCGATGAAACGAATAGAGAGCCAAAGATGGCAGGAATTTCCTTTGGTGGCCTAAGCGAGCAGGTCTTGAAAGCTCGTCCAGAGAGGCTTTTGAGTATTTTCTCAAGGTGTTCTCCATGGATTTTGTTGTTTTTCTCCTCTGAAGAGGCACCTAACAACTTTAGGTTCGTTATTGAACGCACCCACCACTAAATACAATCGCGGAAATTGTCTTTGGAATTTTACGTCTACTAAAAGGGACTTCGCTCGGGGTTGGAGGTGATGAACGTGTGCCTCGGTGTCTGCTTTCATGAGTCTTCCTTCTCTCTTGCCCCCCCCCCCGCCCAAGTCCTCTCTCTCTGGTGTTTCATCCGGTGTCTAGTTCTACTCTTTGGTGGTTCCTCCGCTTCTGCCTTCTGTATAACCGTATAGCTCTACGTCATTTTCTCATAGCCCTATCGAGTTGTTGTTTAGAGTACGCACTTGATACGTTACAGAAGTTGCGAAATTTGGGTCATTTCGTTCCATACATTAGCATTCTTGCTAATATCGAAGGCAAGTAATCATTTTGGGGAGAATTATCAATCAAAGCGTCACTGCCCGGACGTACTGAGTATAAAACACATTTGTCTAAGAAGTCGGGCGAAGGAGACTGTAAAGTTGACGGCCTCAAAATTGACCTTGTTTGGGTTCTTGGACTTTTTTAAGTGGGGTCAATCGCAATAGATGAAGTGTGTGAAGCGCAAATCGGTCCAAGTGGCGTCAACTTCCTCCATCACAAGTTCAAAGATTGTGTACGATGAATTTCCTTGCTTTGCTGCTTTCAAGACATTGCCGGACCATTTCTTTACCAAGTCCAGGACCTCTTCTGTAACAATGCAAGAAGGTTGTCTCCCTCATTAGATGAATGGAAGAATTTCCGCGAGATCCTGAACAGACTTTTAGGCACTATTGAACTATTCCTACCCCAAAAACTCAAAAAAAATTTTTTCGCTGAAACGTTGCCTATAGATGTAATTCGATGCGCTGATCACGAATATCACATCCGTTTCGAGCGCTGGCGTCATTTGGCGCCATTATGCGCCAAATTGGCGCGTAATGGCGCTAAATGGCGCCAACGCCAAAAATGAATGTCGGATTCGTAATCAGAACCTCATACGCAAGTTTTCATCGACTTTGGTGAAAAAATTGGTGGGCGCCAAATTTGGCGCATAATGGCGCCATCGAAACGGATGTGATATTCGTGATCAGCGCATCGAATTACATCTATAGGCAACGTTTCAGCGAAAAAATTTTTTGAGTTTTTGGGGTAGGAATAGTTCAATAGTGCCGACTTTTAATCCACCGTGTGGTGCTGAAGAAGCTGCAAGATTCTTCCTTTAGCGCATCTCTTTCATGTCGAACCCATTTGTCTTATGTTCAGCTTGTACAAGCTCCTAAGTTCGGGTGTAAGTGGAGGCCGAACGGGCTGTCAAGCGTAAAGGCGCTGAAAACTAGCCCGAAACACTTCAGAGCGATGGAAGCACACTTTGTTAGGCGAAATAGAGCTCGTAGCGTAGTGTAGGGTTAGCATGTAGTGAGTCACCTAGCGCCTGTTCAGGCAAGGAAGCTAATGTCTATAAAGCCCAGAAATGCAGTTTCCCTTCCATTCTGACATTGACTTCTTCAAGTACTTCACGAAGGATACAGCATCGTGATGTGTGAAATGGCGGTGTCAGTACGACACCTCCCCCCCCCCCCTCCAGCTCTGCTTGTTTGCTCTGACGAGAAGATTAGATACGTAACGACTCGCAAGCGCTTGCGGCCGCGTTATGATTCCATGGCAAATTAGCGGTGGAGCAGATCTGTTGGCCTGATGGAAATCGCGGGGCTTTTTCTGGAGATGATAGCCTATAGATGCTGGGCTTTTGAGAGCGGAAGGCGGCTTGTTAAACATCTCTGCTGTTGCGT